TGCCACACATCATACCTGTGGAAGGCCGCCATTGATGGGCTGGCTAGCGTTGTACTCTTTGTAGTAAGGATAAAGGCCGAACTTGGATTCGTAAAAAATTACAATCTTATCTCCTTCGAACTTATGATCTGAAAACTTCCTGACTGTTGGAGCAAAAGCCGAACTAAACCCAAGAATTATTTTCACTTATTGATGCGCTTGATATGAACGAACAAGAGCTCCAAATTTCTACAACTCACCTGTATTCTCTTTAATCTTGTAACTTTCCAAATTAATGTGATAAGTCTTATTTTTCTGGCATTTCCCTGAAGGGAAGTTCCAGTATACCTGCAAATATTTCTTTGATGTCTACGGCAAGTGTGAAACTCTACGCAGACTCACATCAAATCCTTCCAAAAATGTTGGCAGCGCAATTGTAAGGATTATAAGAATTATGCAGTGCTCCATACTCCTTCCTAAAAAAAATTCGTTTTATGTGTCTCGCAATCCCGCAACTAGGTAGTGAATTTGAGGGGGTGTACTGATGAGCAACGGAGAATGCTGCACAATGTTGTGACCATGACGTCCATACTCTTTTATATAGTATATACTCTTTTATAGTTGCACTTTTGACAAAACTCTATTTTCTAGGGGATTTTAATCAAAACTGTACTTGATCATGGAATTCATACATCAACAACAGTTCAAGCAGCAATTCAAATCAATAGAAGTGCCACTACCTCACTGTACATCCGCAAAGAAAAACCAATTGAATCGGCTGGATAAGAATAGAATCTCAGGCATGTGCATTTGGCGGAGCTATATTGCAGAGAAATATAAGTTATCACTTTATTTTATACTTTGTTAAATGCCTGGCATTTAGGCTCGAATCTGCGTACGCAAGCTTACGCTTTATACAGCACTATTAAGAGGCTAATAGTTTCTCGAATACAAAAATGCTACAACAAAAACTTATAGTGTTTTATTCTTCATAATGCCATGCAATAATACACTTATTATTACTTAGCTTTCCAGACATTAGTCAAATTTAAAGTGCAACTTTATTGGTGTCCCTAAGTTCTAGAAGACATACAGGGC